ACCTGCCTTACACGTGCAACAGAAGCTCCCCACTTGTGCATGATCCCATTTACCTTTCAGTTTTAACTGCAATTACTTCATCGTGTCTGTATAACCCAGTGTCAGGCGCATATGCACCAACGTATTGAACTCCTCCAGGAAATCAAGTTCCTTATGGCCTTRTTCCAGGAAAACAAGTTTCTTACTCCTGTAGAATATGAACTCGGCTCCTTGTACAAGAAAGTACTTAACACTTTAAAAAAGCTTTTTCTGTGATCTCATTACTGTGCACACTGTGCTATGTGTTAATGGAAATCTCATCAATTACAGGCTGCTCAGTTACATCCTGTGTAATGCAGGGTCACCCTATGGAGCTTATATGGAATTATGGACAAAAGGCCTATTCTCTTCCACATAAGCACAAACCCAAATTATTTTTGAGTCAGACTTGGCGGCATTTCAAATTTCTGCTGCCCATGTACTTAAAAAGAGTGACACTAATGAATAAAATTATTTTATAAGAGCGCTGACTTACATCCTAAAAATGTTGACTCATTTCGGCACCCATTCCATGGCTCATTTTGCACATGGAATTCTCCTTTGTGTAAAGCCTTGCTTCCTCTCCTACTCCTGACTTCAGCCTGCCTGGTGTTWGATCTCACCCAGGGCCCACTAGGTCATGTGTATAAGTTTTTCCATTTATTCCAGCACTTGATCTATTCACCCCAGTGTAGTTGATTATATGAAGAAAAAATATTGTACAGTACCGAATGTACAAAATTATTAGCTAGATATTATGAAAAAAAAATTGTTGGGCCTGGCTGTTTGACTAYATTTTCTCTGCTTGGCATTCTTTYCTGAGGGAATTTCTCACATATCTCATTGCCTGAAGTGAGCCCTTGCTCTAATCTGTCCCATCTGCACTGCTGCTTGGAGCTAACCTGGGCAGGAGGGAATGCAGGATGGAATACCTTGGATAGGGCTATCAGTGGCAGTAAGACAGGACTGAGTCAGGCCTTTGCTTGTCACTGGTATTTGAACTGAATTCCACCAACAGCTGGAAGTGCTCAGCTTTTCTAAAATCTCTGCTGACAGCATGCTGCATGAGCCACTCAAAAATAAAGGTAAGCAGCTTTACTGAACACAGGAAGAGGCTAATCAGTGAATTTTCCTATTGATTCAAATGGCAGCAGAATTACACTGATTCTCCAGCTGAATTTTAAATGCTTGCTATTAAATGTTTTTGAAATGTAGGACTACTATTTTTGCATGTATAATTCTCCCATCAGATATTTTCACCTATTCACATGAATCACTTACTGAAAATTAGTCCTCTAATAACCTGTACYCTCACATGCTGCAAAATCAGAGCCAGCCACAGGGAAGAACTATCATGCACTTTTAGAAAGCTGTTAGGGTGAAGGAAARTCTTGACTAAGTTTCCTTTAAAGCCTTGCATATTATGAATAACCCACACTGCTCTGTATTATGCGAATATTTCCAATATTTCCATTTCTTGGGTAYCTAAGAAATCTATGCAAGGAAACATGGGAGGGAGCAAGGGGTGGTGGAGTGGTCAGAGCCATTCCTAAGTATGAATTATTTATTATTCTTTGTTTTATCAACTATTTGGTGTTGGGACTATCAAATATTAGTAGAGAAAAAAAGCAGCCAGCGCTGCAGAATTGYACAGAAACTAAAATCTATTCTGGCAGATGATTTCCTACAACTGCTCTCATGGAAGTTGCCAGTGTACAGCACAGACTTCCCAGCTTTGCTCACGATTGTTGGTCTATGGGACTGCCCTCAAAAACTGTGCATGAGCTGTACAAGTGAAATACTAAGTATTGAAACTGTTTTGCAAAAAGGGGAATGGGCTTCACCTGGATCCAGTTCACCCACTGTAGTCGTCTTAATAGATTATTCTCCCTATCAATCTCTAAATACCAAAACAAGCCTTTACTTTCATAAAAAAATACAGGCCTTGTTAAACACAGATTACTGACTTTATATCCCCTAGTGCTGCTGCAGGAGTATAACTAGCACAGTTTCTCAAAATTTATGATTTTTCAGCATTTTTTGCCTTTTGTTTCCTGAAAAGCTGGATGGTGTAATTTCARAGTCCAAGTTATATGCAAATCCCAGATTAATTTTGAAGTTTCCAAAGTACTACTTGCTTATTTTCCTAATGAAGAAAACTTTTTTTTTTTTTGCTCTTCATTTGCAATGCAATTTGTGAATGAGTTTTCAACAGTTTTGTACAGCAGAGAGAATACTTGTTAAGGCAACCAAATGCATTAAGAGCATTTAATATTTGGCATCTTTTTTAAGCTATATGAGAATAATAAGCCTCTCTTTCTTGTTTCTAAATGTGTGAAGGTAAAGCCCAACCTTAAAGCATAGTACAATTTCTCACTGTTATTTTAAGTGTGAGAGTCCATCTGAAGTCCAAAAGAATCAAGGTTCTCAAAAGCAGACTATAAAWGTAACTCTTGCTTTGTCTTTGCTCTTTGCAATAACTTTTGAGTGATCCTGACTACCTGAGACAGAGGTAGAAGTCATAGAGTGACTGAGCTTCCTACAAGTGTGATAAAAGCAGTTGAGCAGATCAGAGTGATTTCATACATGGCACCTGTAAGTGCCAGAGCCAAAGGACAAAGTGTGCAGGTGCTCACATTGTTCAAACACCAGAGAAACCATATGGGGGATACACTTGGAAATGCTCAARCCAAGACAGAAGCTGCAACCAAAACACAAAGCATACAGTCTGCAAAAAACTCCATCAGCTCCAGGATTCATTAGAAGAGTGTCCCTCCTTTTTTCACTGAATTTACTATCAATATCTTGAATGGAAGACAGACCTAGAACCTAATTACAAAAGCATTATTTCCTGTAGCATTAACATCAGAGGGAAAGCTCATTGATAGTTACTAAAACAAATGAAGGCTCATTGTCCCTTTAAGATTATATAAAAAAAAAACCAATCACAATAAAAATTAAAATGTTCAAGAGTGAATCTGTGCATGTGGATCCGTCCATTAAACCTGAATCCTGTCTTAGAAGTGAATCATTATGACATGGCTTTTTTCCTTGGTGCTTATTTTAGAATTCTAGTTTATTCCAAACCTTTTTAGCTGAGAGCCCCAGCTCTTACCCTCCCACCTCCTTCTGAGTACCATTTCRCAAGCTCAAGCACCTCTACCCTAGATCGGTAAAGAAAGTTCACCKCACAGCCCACACACCCTGGGGAGGTGAATGCAATCAGAATACATGAATAAGTGCCAGGCTCAGAGCTTTGCCTGAAGCACTTTGCAAGACTCATCACAAGCATTTGTTCTTTTCCCCCCATGCTGATCAGCAAAACCCTTCCTTTTCCAGGCTACAGGGGGGTGGAAAAAAAGCTTAGGTCAGGGAAAATGAAATATTGCTGTTACTGTGATGCTARAAAGTGTTTACTAGGCAATGAAGGAAACCTTAACCAGCTAGGCTGAGCATGCTTTTAACTGRTCCTTCCAAAGGATAAAAGCAGACAACTTGTCATGACAGAAACTGAATTTCAGACAATTTAAAAATGGCCATAATGAGTTGCTTTCAGGCTAATGTCTTGTATAAATTCAAATACTTTGAAAACAAATTAAACTCTTGTGAGTCCCAATTTTTTTTTTTTTAAATGCATATACATACCCGCAGAAGAAATCTCAGCAAGAAAGAACAAYCTGTGTGTTTCTGCCCACAAATAAGTGCAACACTGTTATCATGTTGCTGTAGAAACCCCAACAGAGTATTCTTTAACTTTGTGAGYGATTAAAATACAAACTGCAACGCTGCAAAAAAGAATTAACCACGGATAAGCACAACGAAGATGAATACAGGTAATCCCAGGACAACAGGACCTGCTTTCCTTTGCACTGGAGCTCKACTGTTTTTATAAACAAAAGTTTAAACTGGTAATATTGAATTTTGCACCTTTTGAACAGTTTGGAGGCTGCTAAAGGAAAGGCACTGTTCACTGGATACATGTGGGATTCTTCATAAATTCTGCTTTCRGCATGGAAAGCAGAAAGCACTCTCTTTAGACTTCCGTCTCAACAAAAGTTAGTGGAAATAGCTCACTTGAAATCCCACACTCATAGTGATATGCTCACTCAAAAGCCAGGTAACACTTTCCAGACAAAAAGGAAAATAAAAAAAAAAAAAGGAAAAAGTATCCTGCGGAGAGGTGAATCTACAGACTCACATCACAGACAAATTGCCAAATAAAGGGTTCGAGTTCCATGAGGCAGAATTGGATCTCGTGAATGAACGACGTAGATTAAAACCAGCGGCAAAGTAAAACATACTAACTAACCCAAACTATCAACCGAACAATACGAGACWAAGAAGCAGAAATAACTGAAAGCCATCCCGGTGGGACAAGGAAACCAGAGATGATCAGGTCATGCAGACCTCCRCAGCGCTTGGAAATAAGCAGATTACTATTCAGAGCACATGGGGCTGGGATAATGCTAAACCCTCGAAGACATTTCACGCATTTGTTTGCAGCCCCTTTGTTCCCCGCTGACACGTCTGGGGATCTCTCCATCCCTGTGCCKCCCCAGCCGCCCTGAGGGCCCGTTTTGTCCCTCTCGCCCCGAAGCTGCGCGTCCCAGGCCAGGCTCTGCCCGGGCTCCTTCTGCTCTTTGTGAGGCTGTCGGAGGTCGGGGGAGCCACAGCCGCGGGGCGAGGGCAGAGAGGGGCTGTAGCCCCAATGCTACAGGGGTGGGCTGAGCCTGCGGAGCTGCGGCGGGACTGCGGGAAGCGCAGAACGCAGCGGGCGAGCGACCGGGGAGGGATAGTACAGGGGTGGCAGCCCCGGGGCTGGCGGGGAAGCAGCAGGGAGCCCCGAGGCCGGGCTCGGGGGGCGAATCCCGCTGTAAGCCCCCGCCGAGGCTGCCCGAGGGRCCATGCCCATGGGCAGGCTGTGGCAGGTAGGGAGCCGACAGCGCCGGGGCTGCGCCTTTCCGCGCCTCTCCGCGCCCCGCTCGCCCTGCCCCCGCGGGCCGGGCAGCCGGGGGCGGACGGCAGGGGTGTGCGGCGAGGGGGATTAGCGGGACGCCGCGGCCCCGCCTTCCCCCCTCGCATCCCGGGCGCGATGAGAGGGTGAGATGGACCCGAGCCGGCGGGACTGGCACCATGACATTCGCCGGCTTCGTGGTAGCGCTGGTGATAGGGGCGATCCCCGGAGCCCGCGGACCGGGGCAGGTCTCCGCCAGCCTCCCGGCCGCCCGCCCCCCGCAGCCCCCCGCCGGC